AAAGAGAGAAATGACAGGGGTGGGGAAAAAGAAAAGAAAATTGACCAGGGAGAGTAACTATACAACTTAATCCAGAGAGAGAGAGAGAGAGAGAGAGAGAGGAGAATAAAGAAGAAGGAGGTACAGAAGAGGTTTAAAACAAATAGATTAATTACGTCTGCTTAAACAAACCAACGGCCAGTGTAACCAGACTAGAGAAGGGAAGAAATAAGAAGACGAAAAGAAAAAAAATATATATGTGTAATAAGAACTAACCAAGAATTAAGTCAGAAGATGCAAAACCACTGGACTGATATCTGATGGTGCCTTGGAACCCGTGGCTGCGCTGGTCTGGAGGAGGGGCCGCTGGGCAAGGTCAGTGTCAGTCTTGCTCTGGTAGATACACAGTTACCAGGCATGGAGGGGTGTGGTTTGGTGCAGGCAGGTTCTGCCTCCACTGCCAGCCCCCTGTCTGTTCCTGAAGCCCCACTTTGTTGGTGATGGGAAGAAAAATGGTGACACCCCAGTCTCTCCTCCCTGGACTGGGTGACCCAAACCACTCTGTTCAGGCCGTCCTCACAGTGCTGTGCAGGTGTGAGCAGGCCCATTAGTTCCACTCCACAGTCTCCCATTCCTCCCAGATGCTGGGATGCAAACCCCAATGTCTTATAGGATCCCACCCCACACACCCTGGTTCCGGGATAGTGCCACTCCGCCCAGCCGGCAAAGGGTCTCTGGCTGGTGGGTGCAAGCAGGGTCTTTTGTCCTTGGAACAGCTCTTTGCCTTCTTCCACTGCCCTCCAGGGAGGGGATTGCTTTCTCCGACCTACCGCAAACGCGCCTCTGAGCTGGCTACTGAGCCCAGGGCTGGTTCCCCTCCCCGCAGGCGTGTGAACTGGGCAGCTGGCTCCAGTCTGGGGAAAACCCCAAAGTTAGAAATTGGATCTTTTTCTGTTTTTTTCCGATCCCCGGTCCGTGGTTTTTCTCTTGTCCAAATACAATCCTACACTTCCACAGCTATCTTTCTCTTCCTTTTGTCTCTGCACAGAAGGGGATCCCTGCCCTCCATTCCTACACCACTTGTCTTATCTCTCCCAGTTCACAATCATGCACCTATGGCCCGCCAAGTTGTCCCCGTGGGCCCCTAGAGACGTTTCTGTCACTCTTCAGCCCAGATTCTTGGAATTCCCAATCTTCTAGCCTCAATACTGCTGCATTTGAGGGACAAGAGAACTTCGGGTCCCCCTACTTCTCTGCCCACTGTTGACCTGCCCACCTTTGCCTCTTCTTTTAAATTGGGTTTTATCTTCTCACTATTGAGTTTTAAGAATCCTTTCTATATTCTGGATGCAAGTCCTTTATCAGATGTATGATTTACAAATATTTTCTCCCAGTGTATGTTTTGTCTTTTTGTTTTCTTAATGATGTCTTTTGAAAATCAAAAACATTTAATTTTGAGGAAGTCAAATTTAAAATTCTTTTTACATTTATTTATTTTTGAGAGACAGAGAGACAGAGCACAAGTGGGGAGGGGCGGAGAGAGAAGGAGACAGAATCTGAGGCAGGCTCCATGCTCTGAGCTGTCAGCACAGAGCCTGACATGAGGCTCGAACTCACAAACCATGAGATATGACCTGAGCTGAATTCGGACGCTCAACTGACTGAGCCACCCAGGCGCCCCGAGGAAATCAAATTTAAATGTGTGTGTTTGTGTGTGTGTGTGTGTGTGTGTGTTTGATATCATATCAAAGAGATGTTCATCTAGCTACAGATTTTTCTAAGTTGTCTTCTACAAGTGTATATGGGTTTAGCTCTTATAATTAGGTTATGCATTTGGAGTTAATTTTTTGTGCACAGGGTGAGGTAAATGTCTAACTTTATATTATTATTAGTTATTAATTTTTGCATTTAGATGTCCAATGGTTACAGCACTATTTGTTGAAAAGAATGCTTTCGCCATTGAATTGTTTTGGAAGGGCATTCCATTGATGGGCTAAATGGAAGCTTTTGGAATGTCTTCTCCCAACCAAGATAGTAAACCAGAAACCAAACTACCTCCCTGGGGAGAACTGCAGAGATTAATGTCACCAGGAAAGACTTGAAAGATGCAGGGGTGGTGATGGCTCCCATAACTCCATTTACCTCACCATAAGTCAGGTGAGTGTTGGAGAATGACTCTGGACTGTCTTACACTAATCAGGTGGTCACCACTAGCAGCTGCTGTCCAATTGCAGCTCCTGTCCCAGATGAGTACGTTTACTCAAACAAATCAACACACCTCCCTTGGCAATTGATATGTAGCTACTCCATGGCTAATGCACTTTTTTCCATACTAATTTTCAAGGGCTACTGGAAGCAGTTTACTTCTACCTGGCAAAGCCAACAGTATACTGCAGAGCTATGTCAATTCTCTTGATCTCTGTCATATAGTTCACAGAGACCGTATTAATCCTGATATTCTATAGAGCATCACCCTGGTCTGCTTTATGGACAACATCATGTTGATTGGATCTGATGAGCAGAAAGTGGCAAGTAGTTAAGATGCCTTAGGAAGGTGAAAGTGAACTAGAACATGGCAAATAAACCCCACAAGAGTTCAGGGGCCCCTCCCTTCAGGGAATTTCCTAGGTATTCAGAGGTCTGGAGAACATCGAGATATCCCCTCCTTGGGAGGTTAATAAAAGGCAAGCTGTTGAAACTCCCACCACTTAACAATGTAAAAACAGGCACAATGTGGGAAAACACGTATCACGCAAACATGAACCAAAGATATCTGAGTAGCTATGTTAATAGCAGACAAAGAATATGATGTTTAAATGGGTATCAACTTTGTAATTAAAAATTCAACTTTACATATATGCATTAGACTTTTTGATTCTATGTTACATTTCACAACTAAAACAATTTTTAAAAGTGCTCTGGAAACTAGATCAGGAAATCTTCCCTTAAGAAAGTGAATTGGGAGCAGGGCACCTGGGTGGCTCAGTTGATTAAGCATCCAACTTTGGCTCAGGTCATGATCTCAGTTTGTGAGTTTGAGCCCTACGTCAGGTTCTGTGCTGACAGCTCAGAGCCTGGAGCCTGCTTCGAGTTCTGTGTCTCCCTCTCTCTTTGCCCCTCCCTTGCTCACACTCTGTCTCTCTGTCTCTCTCTCAAAAATAAACATTAAAAAATATTTTTTTAAGCGAATTGGGTTGTTTGGTGAGGTCAAAGATTTTTAAACACACACACACACACACACACACACACACACACACAGAAAGAGAGATACAATTAAGTGCACAAAAAATATTGAATTTATTTTATTTGGTAACAATGAAAATCACAATATTTTTTGTTTAAAATTTTAAAGGGTAAATAAAAAGCTAGACTCAGTGTAGCTCAATCAGTAGATTTCGACAACCTCACCCCACTGTTTCTAGCTGGATGGTGTTCTAATTGCCTGCCCCACCTAAACACATTTGCACATATTTGCATGGGTTACTCTCTATAGTGGGTAATATAAAGCCTCCCTTTTGTCTCCCTGGCAGGCTCTCCTTAGCTACTCCTTTCCAACAGCCTTGATCTGGCTGTATCTGGCTGTATCTCCTTCTCTCCCATTGCTACCTCAGCCCTCACCTATTCAGAGTTGCTAAGGAAAGGTAGGCAGCACATCTCAGGACCCCAGCTTAGGAAAAGGAACTCTGGTCATGGGGATCTTTCAGTACCATGGAGAGTGTGGGGGGGGGGGGGGGGGGGGGGGGTTGCTTTTAGCTGATGGCAAAGGGGCTGTGATAAAATAAATGGCAATTAACTTTTGTGTTCTCTGTACTTCTAACACTGGTTCAGTGCCCATAAGCCATTTCCCATACAGTTCAGCCTTTAGAGGGCGAATTCCCAGTATGTAGCCAGCACTCAATAAATGTGAGTTGGCACTCAAGCCACGCAATTATCATCCTACTGTTTGAAATACTCAGAGGATTATATAAGGAAGATATACAAAGACCACTGAGTACACGAAAAGATGCTCACCATCATTAGTCATTAGGGGAATGCAAATTAAAACCACAATGAGATACTACTTCACACTTACTGGGATGGCATCATTGCAAACAAAAGAACATAAAATGAAAATGTCAAGCGTTGGCAAGGATGTGGAGAAACGGAGCCCTCGAGCGTTGGTGTGAAAATGTCAACTGGTACAGCCGGGGAGAGCAGTTTGCCACTTCCTCGAGAAGTTAAACACAGAACTGCCATATGACCCAGCAATTCCACTCCTAGGTATATACCCCCAAAGAATTCCAAGCAAGTCCTCAAGCAAAAGCTTGTACTTGAATACAAGCAGCCCTGGGTATCATAGGCAGAAAGTGGAAACAACCCAAATGTCCATCAATGGATAAGTGTATATAGAAAATGTGGTATATTTATAGAATGGCGTTTTATTCATCCATAACAAGGAATGGAATACTTACACATGCTTATACAACATGTATGAACCTTAAGAACAGGCTAAATGAAAGAAGCCAGACACAAAGACCAGATATACAATTCCGTTTATAAGAAACTTCTAGAACAGGCAAATTCATAGATTAGTGTTTGCAAGGGGCTGAGGGAAGAGTGAAAGGATGGCTGCTTCATGGGTAGAGGGTTTCCTTCTGGAGGGATGAGAATGTTCCAAAGTTAGATAGCGATGGTGGTCACACAACACTGTGAATGTATTTAATGCCGCTGAATCGTGTACTTTAAAACGGTTAAAATGGTAAACTTTACGTTACGTATATATTGTTACCAAAAAAGACAAACACATAAACTATTCAGAGGGACTACTGGCCGGAATCTCCCAGAACGAGCCTGGCTTGCTCTCATGACACCCTGCTTCTCCCGCCGTGATCCCAGGGTCTTTTCTTTGATATTCTGGGTCACCCCTCCTCCCCCAGCAACCTGATGGTGGCTTCCTCGTCATTCAGGCTGGGGACCAGGTGAGTGCGTAATCCCAGCCTGCAAGACTCTATCTATTCTCCCTGATTCCCGGCCCTTTGCAGATACTGGCTGAAATACGAGTTCCATCTGGTGGAGAATCAGATGGGGATAGTGAATACGTCTTTTTTGAAGGCTGTTGTCCAGAGTGTCAGCACCAACATCTCAGAAGACCTGCTCTTCTCTCTGACGCCTTCCCAGGTGAAGAGGCCCCTGTCCCTGTTGGCTGTTTCTGGCTCCATTTCCCTCAGACGTATTTTTCAGAATTCTGAGAGACTCCTGGTCTGTGCTTGGTGCCCACCAAACTATATGCCTCGCCTGTCCCATTTGGTAGTGCTCTGCCACTTTGCTAATGGGTGCTAGGGAGTTACTGGGATGAGTGGATCCTGGTGACAGATTACCCAGGGTGGAGGAAGACGCATAGGGAAGATCATCAAATTGAGAGTCAGGGCATCTGGGTTCCAGTCCTGGGCTCCCCACCCCCTCCCTAGGTGTCTTCCAGGAAACCCCTTCCTGTCTCTGGGCCCCGGAGCCCTCATCTGTAAGATGAGCACTAAGGCTCCTCCAAGGTCAGAGGTTCCCTTCTGCCCTCCCTCCCAGGGAATACATTTGAAACCAGGTAAAGGCACACCTCACCATACTGCAAAGGGCCCCACAGGCAGACTCCAGATTTACACTGGTCTGGATTCAAATCCCGGCGCTGCCCTTTACCAGCTAATGTGATACTGAGCTCATGACCGAAATTTTCTGAGCTTTGGTTTCCCCAATCTGTAAAACGGTGACAGTAGTGCCCACTTTCAAGGTTATGGGGGGAGCAAGTGAGATAATGCGCAGGGAGTCCTGGGTGCAGGGACTTCACTCCCTTAAGGAGGGAAGCTGAGGATGATGTTCAGGCAGCAGACAAGTTGGCTATCATCAGGGTACTTCTAGGTCTGTCTGGAAAAGGAGTGATGAAAGAGAAGACCTTTCCCAACCCTTTATTTATGTGACCCAAGCAGCTGAGCCCTCTGCTTGGGGGCACCCGCTGGCCCCAGAGATCACCCCCATGTTCTTTGACAAGGGTCCAGATGGGAAGGACAAAGGTGGGGCTCTCGCCTCCTACCCTTAGCTCCTCCTGTTCCAGTGTCCACGGGGTGCTTTTGAGGCGGGACCAGTTGGGACCCGGCTGCAGCCCAGTGGACCAGTGAGGTCAGAGAATGAACAAATTACCAATGAAAATTAGTATTTTAACCATTCTCAGCTTTTACCAAATATGTCGTCAGCCAGGGGGGAAATCACATTCTATGTGTTTTGTATTCTCCTCCTCTGCTCTCATGGTCTCCCTTTCTGGGGGACTTTATTCTTTCCAGTTATTCCTTCATCAGAAGCCAGACACCATCACCATAAAACCCTACGTAATTACAAGGGCTGGCAGGAAGCTGGCCGACCCTCCCTCACACTTGTAAACTGAACTTCACCGACTTCTTTGGGCCTGACCCTGACGGGTGGCCACACAGGCAACTTGTTAGCTCCGTTCTCCATATTGGGAAAACTGAGGGTCCGTGAGGCTGGGGCTTGTCCAGGGGCTCACAGTCTGGACAGAGCAGAGCTTGCAGTGTGCCTCCAGGTGTCCTGCTTCTCAGAGTGATGCCCTCGGGCACCACCCCTCCACCCAATGCCTCAGTTTCCCCTCCCAACTAGGGGAATGGCAAGACGGGTGTCTTGGAACCCTGGGGGAAAGACGGGAGCTGCGGGGTCTGTGGTTACAGGTTCCAAGGCCAGTGACAGAGGAGGAGCATGAGCCCCCCGACAGAGTCCGGCTGCCCCGGAGTCTCTTTGAATCCCTGCAGGACAGCAGGTCGGTGGTCCGGCTGGCCATCACGCTCCTGGACATCGGTCCAGGGAATCTCTTTAAGGTGAGGAGAGGCCTGATGGAGGCTCAGGGCAGCTCAGTGGGTCAGTGCTCCGTTCACCAGGGACCTGTGCCCCAGCTTGCCCTCTCTTGGGTCTTTGCTGTGGGTCCCAACGGGGCTGGAGGAGGTGATGAGCCTCCGGAGAACGTTTCTAAAGCAGCCCAAGGTCATCCCAGACTTCTGTCCTCAGAGTCTGTGCACTGCAAACTCACACTGGTCACACACACTCAGATGTTTGGACCCCACGCACCAGTGTCCTTGGTTGGACCTGTACGTGTATCCCAAGCATTCATGTCCCCTTGTGTGTCCTTGTGCATGTACAGATGCGCATATTCTTTCAGACTCCTGGTGTGTATGTAATCGCGTGTGCTCCTGTGTGACCGTGTCCACACAAGCAAGGGTACCCAGGTTCTTGCAAATGTGTACCAGGCATGCCTGTCCAGAGGTGTGTAATCCGCTCACGTGTAGACATAGTGCACGATGAGTGCTGCTGTGGGCTGGTGCTCACCCCCCGTAGGCAGCCACTGCCCTCCAGTAGGACAGATGGTCTTTCTTCTAGCCCTACGCTCTCCACCTAAGTGGGCAGAGGAGCCCTGGGGCCGGCAATGGAGAGCTGTTGGCCGCATGGCTTTGTAACCGTTTGGCCTGGGGTGTTGGGCTCACTGGGGTCCAGCCTGGGCAGGGGACTACAGGGAGCAGCAGGAGGAAAGTCGCCCAGGATCCCTCGGTCCCCTGGTCCCCTAGCCACAGACTTTACTCTCTAGGCGAGGGTGATGGGTCCTGGACGTTCCCAGGAACCCCCACAGCGTTTGGTTGGGACAGCCCCTTCCTAAGCCCAGCTCCCCATCTCCCTCCACAGGGCCCCGAGCTCAGCCTGGAGGACAGCAGCAGCGTGTTGAACAACCGCCTGGTGGGCTTGAGTTTGGGCAATATATCTGTCAGCAGGCTGGCTGAGCCTTTGGAGATCACCTTCTCCCACCAGCGCCCACCCTCTGTGAGCCCCCAGTCCGGGCCTGGCTGCTACTAAGGGGCAGACAGGCGGGTGGTCACCCACAAGCACACAGGCAGACACGCATAGGACTCTGCACCTCCCATCCTTCGACAGCCACCCGGCAGAAGCCGCAAAGACCATACACACGGCTGTGCCCAGGGACACATGCCAGCTGCACACGAATGTCCATTTGACCCCCAGGTCCCCTCCCACTCGTGCTTTTGGGCGTGCACATAGGGCCTGGCAAACCCACCGGTATGCCACCCACATACGTGCTCCCTCAAAGGCACATGCACACAGACATGCAACCGTCCCACTCACAGCCCCACGCCCCTCACGCGCTGGTCCACGGCACTCCAAATGGTGCGATCCATGGTCCTGTGTGACCCACGGGGTGAGCCTTGCTTTCTACCCAATGCGCACTCAGCGGGGGGTGGGGGGGCACGCTGTCCTCTCCCCTCCTCTCCCCACACTCTCCTCGGCCCTCTCTCCTCTCCCAACCGCCCCATGCCTCCACCCTGATGCCCATTCTCTGGTTTCAGAACATGACCTTCAGCTGTGTATTCTGGGATGTGACTAAAGGTAGGCAGGGAGAGTGCGGGCTCCCTTGGCGAGGTGGGGGGCAGAACGCCACCGGCAGGGCCCCTCCCCCTCCCTTCCTTCCTCTCTGTTCCCCTCCCCTCCTCTCAGGTCCCTGCCACTCCCCCGTATTCCCATACACTCTCCTATGTTCTCCTCCCTTCCTCTCCAGGGTCAACAGGAGACTGGTCTTCCACAGGCTGCTCCACAGAGCTCAGCGCCAAGAGGACTGTCTGTCGCTGTGACCACCTGACCTTCTTCGCTTTGCTGCTGGTAACAGCTCACCCGCCCTGATCCCAGCAGTTCTGGAGGCACCGAGGCTGCCTGGCAGGGGCCAGGGGCTTTGGGATGTGTGGGGCCTGGCCTCTGACTGATGCGGTTCCGGTTCCGGGGGTGTTGCCCACAGAGGCCGATCTTGGACCGGGCCACGGTGCAGGCCCTCATTCGCATTTCCCAGGCTGGCTGTGGAGCCTCGATGATCTTCCTGGCCTTCACTGTTCTCCTGTATGCTGCCCTGAGGTGGGTGACCCCCCACCCCCACCCCATGTCTCCCTCTTGTCCGGAAAGTCAGGAGAGGTACAGGCTAGAAAGTACACTGCTTGTGCAGCATTATAGATATCCTCTCCAAACCCTAGTTTCCTCATCTGTAAAATGGGGTTGGGGGTTGAAATGTGTCAGAGTTATTTCAGTTGAAAGTGGCAGAAACTCAAAGTCACTCAAATATAATGGGGAATATGTGGTTCCTGTAAGGCAGCCTTCAGGCACGGTTGGATCCAGGGGCTCAAAAGACTTGCTCTCCCTCTGCTTCTCCCAACTTTGCTCTCTCCTTTGTCAGTCTTGTCAAGCAGCTTCTTCACATTCAGGGAGTCCCAGGCTTGTCTGCCTAAGCAGTGAATTTTCTTTTTTTTTTTCTTTTTTCTTTTTTTTTTTTTTTAATTTTTATTTTTTCAACATTTATTTATTTTTGGGACAGAGAGAGACAGAGCATGAACGGGGGAGGGGCAGAGAGAGAGGGAGACACAGAATCGGAAACAGGCTCCAGGCTCTGAGCCATCAGCCCAGAGCCTGACGCGCGGCTCTAACTCACGGACCGCGAGATCGTGACCTGGCTGAAGTCGGACGCTTAACCGACTGCGCCACCCAGGCGCCCCAACAGTGAATTTTCTAAACGAAGTTCCAGAATTAAAGCCTTTTTCTTTTAACATTTTGTTTTGAAATTGTTATAGACTGACAGGAAGTTGCAAATATACTACATAGAGTCCCACAGTTTTTTCCAGTGATAGCATTTTATATAACTGTAGTATTAATACCCAAACCAGGAAATTGGCATTGGTACAGTGCTACTAACTAGAATACAGTTTCCACAGTTTTTTACATGCATTCCTTCCTCTGTGCGTGTGTGTGTGTGTGTGTGTGTGTGTGTGTATTTCTATGCAATTTTATCCCGTGTATACCAGAGTTGAGTTTTGCTCTAACCTGAACCATTTGCCCATGATGGAACAGGTCACTGTGGTCAAGGGGTGGGTTACACTGATTGGCCAAGCCAGGTCATGTGCCTGCTTTTATTTGAACTAACAAAGGGTTAACCTCAGCCAAACTGCAGGGCTGAGAGCGGGAAAGGGGGTTCCTCAGGGAAACCCGTTCCAGAAGGAGGAGTGGGTGCCCGACAGGCAGAGATCACTGGCCTGTGCTCAGGTTCTCTGGGTCCAGGCCATGGGCGAGGGACCCACAGGAACTGTGGGCTTGAAGGAGCCTGCGGGAGCAGCCACATGCCCCAGCCTGCCCTGGACCCCAGCCTCCCCACCCGTGACTGACCTGGAGCAGCCCTGGGGTCTCCTGACTCAGTCTGGGGCCCTCTGACTGCCCTTTTCCACGTGCCTCTCTGCCTCTGTCACCATGCGGGCCTGGGCTGCAGCCCCCAGCAGCCCCACTCCCTCCATCTCAGAGCAAGCCGTGAGTGTGAGCGGTGCCACCCCTGTCCCCAACCAAGCCCCCGCCTGGGACACAGCCCCCATCCCCAATAAGCTGAGCATGACCTGCCAGCTGGCCGCGCCGCTGGACCCTGTGAGCCCGGCTTGGAGCGCCAGAAGGAATCGTCACCAACTCTCGAGGGTGGGCTCTGGCGTCTCAGGTGAGATGCACATTATGCCTCATGCTCCTGTCCAGGCAGCCCTGGGCTCTCGTCCCTCCAGTGAGAGCCCTGGGGATCTGTTTGCTAGGAATTCAGAGTGTGAACTCCACGGACAGGGAGTGAGCCTCCGGCCCTCTCCGGGCCTCATTCTCCCTACGACGTCCCAGCCTCCTGCACCCGTGCCCAGTCCCGCAGTCCATCTACTCACTCAACCAAATGCACGCAAGGCTGGCTCCGGCCTACTGTGCTAGCCTGAGGTCACAGCCAGAGAGGAGGGGGGTGGCAACAGTGAGCTGCGGGAAACTTCCAAATCAGCCTGGAATAAGTGGCAGTCAGAGACAGCTTCCTCAGAAGGAAAGGCCCGGGGAAGTTTTGAAGGAAGAGTAGGGAAAGGCATTGAGAGCAGAGGGAAGAGCAGGGGCAAAGTCCGGGAGGTGTGGAAAAGCAGAATGCACTCAGGGAATTGCAAGGAATGCAGTTTGGCCAGAGCATTGAGTCAAGGGATGAGGCCAGCAGGATCTGGACCCCACAGGACCCTGAGGGCCATGAGATGGCTTCTGCACCTGAGCCGGACAGCATCCACACTCCAGCTGCTGGCAGGGGCGGAACAGAGGAGGTGGAATGGAGAGGCCGTGGTGCCCCATGGGAGCTGCGTCCTCTTGCAGCCTCTCATTGGCCCTTCTCACCCCAGGTTCTACCGGCAGCGGTTCAAGTCAGAAGATGCCCCCAAGGTCCACGTGGCCCTGAGCATTAGCTTGTTTCTCCTGAATCTAGCCTTCTTCATCAATGTGGGGCATGGCCGTGAGCCGTCAGATGCCACCTGCTGGGCCCGGGGGGCCATCTTCCACTATTTCCTACTCTGTACCTTTACCTGGATGGGCCTGGAAGCCTTCCACCTCTATCTGCTCGTCATCAAGGTCTTCAACACCTACTTTGGGCACTATTTCCTGAAGCTGAGCCTCGTGGGCTGGGGTAGGTGCAGCTCAGACAGGCAGTGAGCATGGCTGGCCCTGGGAGGGGGACAGGAGGGAGAGCCGCCTAGGGCAGAGAAGGGGCTCTCTCTGTTGTACAGGCTCAGGACCTGGGGGATGGGCCGCTGGAGGGGATTTGGGAGGAGGACATGCCAAGGGAGCCCAGCAGTGCCGCAGCCCCTCCTGTTGTGCACAGGCCTGCCTGCCCTAATCGTCATTGGCACCGGGAGCGCCAACAGCTATGGCCACTATGCCATCCGCGACAAGAAGAACATGGCCACGCTGGAGCTGTGAGTGGTGGCTGTGGGAGCAGGGGTGACATCAGGTCCCTGGCTGCACATATCTGGGCCAGAGGGATGTGGGGAGAGGAGGGAATCCTGGGAAGAGAGACTGAGTAAGTCAAGGCAAAGGATCCTCCAGCTAGCTCATGGCCTGGAGTGGTAAACTGAGGACTGGATGGAGAAAGCTCAATGAGACAGAGGGTCTGAAATGGAGGAAAGCGAGCGGAGGCAGGATGCCTTGCTCTAGCCTGGGCCGCCACCGGCCCATATGGTACCTTTGGGCAAATTTAAAAAGGTGCTCTGCCAACCTGTCATGCCAGGGGCTCAGCCCCACCTGCCCCCTCAGCCAGCTGCCCTTGTGCAGGATACAACCTGCCCAACATTGGTGACAGCCCTGGTTCTCTCTGGGCTCTGCCTCTGAATTGCTGTGTGGCCTAGCCTGGCCCCTCCCAGGGCCTCAATCTCCTCATCTGTACAATGAGGTGTGACGAACATATTCTTTCACGCCTTTTGCCCTGCAGTGCGTGTTGCACGGGGCTGAGCTGAGCCTCCCCCAGAATGCCTTCCCTGGGCCCATGGCTCTGTGCTAAGAGAGGCTGGTGGGGCCTTGGTCTTGTTCCCAGGACCTCAAATGCAGGGGCCACAGGGGCTAGAGAGGTAACATAAGCACACGCGGTGGTCCAGGGGGAGACTGCAGTAGACTGGCAGTCACACACCCATCTATCGTCCCTCTGGAGGGCATCCACAGAGCTGCTGGGTGTCATTTTACAAGAGAAGCAGAAATCTGGATGCTTACGCCAAGCCTCCCACTTTTCAAAGGGTGGTTGTTAATTCAATTGTTTAACAACATGATGTGGGGCAAATAAAACATGTCTTTGGGCCTAAATTTGCCCCTTTGCACTCGCTGGTCTAGGAAGAATTTTATTTTTATTATTTTTTTAATGTTTATTTTTGAGAGGGACAGAGCACAAGCAGGAGAGGGACAGAGAGAGAGGGAGACACAGAATCCGAAGCAGGTTCCGGGCTCTGAACTGTCAGCACCCACTATGGGGCTCAAACTCACAAACCGCGAGATCACGACCTGAGCCGAAGTCGGACGCTCAACCGGCTGAGCCACCCAGGTGCCCCTGCCCTCGCTGGCCTAAAGAGATGGCAGAGAGGAGCCTTTTGACAGCCCCTTCCCAGGAGAATAGGGGGTTGGTGGGTAGCAGTGGGGGAAGGAGTCTTCTTGAGCACAGAAGGTCAGTTAGGGAAGACTGCGTGAGGCTTGCTGGACAGGGCCACCTCTCCAATCCCAGGGGCCATCTACTGCCTCCAGGTGCTGGTTCCGTGAGAAGACCGCTGTCTCTGCCCTCTACGTCACCGTCCATGGCTACTTCCTTATCACCTGCCTCTTCAGCGCTGTGGTCCTGGGCCTGGTGGCCTGGAAGATCTTCACTCTGTCGACTGCCACAGCAGGCAAGGAGCAGGGACCGAACTGGAAGGGAGTGCTCACCGTGCTGGGCCTCTCGAGCCTGGTGGGTGTGACCTGGTGGCTGGCCATCCTCACGCCCCTGGGCCGATCCACCATCTATGTCTTCGCGCTGTTCAACTCCCTGCAAGGTGAGGCTTCCGGGCCAGGGCGGTGGCGGGTTGCCTCACCTGCAAGGGGGTGCTTTGGGGGCACGGGGAGGAGGCAGACGGCGAGAAACAGGATTCCACTCAGGCTGGCTCAAATCAAGGGCTCTCCCAAGGACCCCAGGACGGGAAGGCTGACCGGCCTCGTGGGAACGGGTACCAGAGTCAGGAAAAGCCACCCAAACCGAAGCAGATACCGCCTCCGTCTTTTTCTCTGGAGCTGCGCGTAGTCTCTCACCTTCTGTCCCTTCCTACCCAGGCTCGCAGACGGCTTCTTCCACCCTCCGTGACCTCTGTCTAGGGAGGGTGCTCTGACTCAGTCCGGTCCGTGTTTTTAGGAGAGTCAAGGATCAGACTGAGCCATCTTGGTCCGGTCAGCTGTGACCTGTAGGGCAGGGTCACGTGATGTGATGGCCACATGACATGGACAGTCTGTAAGGAGTTGTGCTGGCAGAAGGAAGTGATTAGCAGAGGAAACGATGGGTAGGTGTGCTCCTTGCTCCCCACCTCGTCCTCCCTCTGCTTTCCCAGCAGAGGAGAAGGCACCCGGGGTGTGGGTGACGGTCCCCCCATCCTCCTCGCTCCTCACACTGTGCCATACACACAGCTTGGTAAATAATTAATGTATTTATTTTTGAGACAAAGAGCGAGAGAGTACAGGGGACGTGCAGAGAGGAGAGAGAGAGAATCCCAAGCAGACTCTGAGCTGTCAGCACAGAGCCCGACGCGGGGCTCGAACGCACAGACCACGAGATCGTGACTTGAGCAGAAGTCAGATGCTTAACCGACTGAGCCACCCAGGCGCCCCATCTTATTTTTTAAAGTTTTTAAAATGTTTACTTATTTTTGAGGGAGAGAGTGAGAGAGAGAGAGAGAGAGAACACAAGCAGTGGAGGGGCAGAGAGAGAGAGGGAGACCAAGGATCCGAAGTGGGCTCCACGCTGACAGCACAGAGCCCAACTCGGGGCTCGAACCCATGAACCGTGAGATCATGACCTGAGCCAAAGTCAGACGCTCGACTGACCGAGCCACCCAGGCATCTCACCAGACTTCATAATGAGTACCTGAGACAGTACTTGTGGGGGACAGAGTAGGCCTTCGGTCTGTGCGGACTCTGTCAGCAACAGCAGGCTCTCTGAGACGATCCCCGGGGGAAGAAACAGGAGCCCACATCTGGAACATCTGGGGCTGGGGAGGGACACACCTTGAAACTAGATTATATCATTATTCTTCTGGAGGTTGCTCTTAATATTTACGCCTGAACGCTTCACCCTACCGAGTTGTCTCAGCTGAGTGTGCGGGTCTCAGCCCATCTTTCTTCCTCCCAAACGCAACAGTCCCTACACTTCAGCTGCCCTTGAACGCTTCTCAATAGTTTATCGTGGTTAAAACTTGTGGTGTAAATTTCTTTTAAGCACACACAAAGTTTTAACTTTTCTATCAATGTCTGTACTTGCTACACTTCTGATAGCTCCCACCTTCCCCCTTCTTCTGGCTGGGGTGCATCCTGTAATCATCCTTCGTGGAGGGGGGTAAAGGAAGGTCACTGTAGTGGTGGCTGTTCTGTATGTCTGAAAATGCCTTTATCCTGCTCTTTCTTTTCTGTGATAGATGTACGCATACGTGATTTCATGGCCTCCGTTTTTCATTTCCAAGATTTCCATTTGGTTCTCTTTCAGGGGTTGGCTTCATTTTTGCCTGATTTTTCCATACGTGCTTGAGCTTTTGCAGTGGAGAGATTTCTCCTCCGGACGGCCGTCAGCCAGGCTGCCCAGCGCCCTGCCGGTCCGACCCCAAGCTCATCCAGTCCTTCTCCTTCCTGACAGGTGTCCTCATCTTCTGCTGGTTCGCCATGCTCTACTTCCCCAGCCGGACTGCCGTGGCCTCCTCTTCTGGCACCGCCAGAATTGACCAGGTCCACACCGCGTCTCAAGAATAGAGGGCCTCCCTGGGGTCAGGCTGGGAGCCGGCCGCACATTGTGGACTCGGCTCTGACTCCCTGTGTGAACTCAGGCTGCTCCTTGCCTCCTTCTGGCCTTCAGTTTCTATGTTTGTACAATGTGGCTGGCGAAGGGAGGTGATGGGGGCCAGTTTGGACCACCTGGCCTCAGTGGTTCCGTCCAGATACTTCTGTGGGTCCTAGAGTCCACAAATCCAGGATTGCGAGAGTCTGAAGACCGCTGCCAGCATAGAGCAGGTGCCCTCACCTGTACCTGTACCTGCACCTCCTGCCTACCGAGCAAAACAGCTCATCTCTGCCATTGGCCACCTCTGGTTTTAGTCACAGGGCACTCTGTTATCAGAATTGCCCCTTGAAGGAGTCCCAGCCTCTCCTCTTCTCCCTCTTACCACCACCCTCTCACAACCCCACCCTCTGGCTGCCTGTTCTCAGGCACTTGGACAGTTGTGCACTAGAGGTTTGGGTCTATCTATGGATAGATAAGCAGGAGCCCCTGCCACCGGGGGCCGCCCACCCTCCAGCTGTCTGGGGACACCGAATTTCAGAGAAGGCCACTTACTCAATAGTGGGTGTGACACCATAAGCAGGCTCCCCTCCCCACCCTGACCGCCACACGTGTGGCCTGACCTCTGATCTGCTGTCATAGTGGGGTGGAAGGCAGATGGTCCAGAGCTCCGCACACCTGAGGGCCGAGGGGCAGGGCAGGGGAGAGGGCTGGGCTGAGCAGAGAGAGGGCAGGCATTGCCCCCAGAACCTGAGCTCCTATCAAGCAGGTCCATCAGCCTCATTCACCGGTTCAGCCCAGCCCGAGCCTGGCACGTTTCAGGCCCCAAATAAATATCTGTTGTCTGAATAGATGGATGTATGAGTTTGGCATCAGCCTGCATGGTTCGGAGCCAGTGGAGTGTCTCAGGCCAGGCCCGGCTTGGGTACGTCACCTCCAGTGGCTGGGCCTCCATTTCGCAACTGTTGCTGGTTTCCTCAGTAGGAAACAAAAGAGGCAGAGATAAGAGAGAGAGAAAGCCAGCTAGAGAGAGGGAATTAACAGATAAACCAACACAAAGAAAGAAAAGAGTGGAGGGGACAGAAAGCAGCCCCCTGGCCCGCCCCACTGCCCACGATCATGCCCCAAGTCTAGCCTTGAGTTCCGAACCACTGGGGACATCTCACCTTCCCTACTCACCCCCACCCTCCCCAGTGGGCTTGGCCAAGGTCAAGCACCTGCTGTAGGTGAGAAGCTATTGTTGTCAGACCGTCCCCCACAGCCTCTGGGCCGCCAGCCATCTCCTGCTCCCCGATGACTATGTTGAGTGGACGCCCTCCCTTCTCCCTCCTCCCGCCCAACAAACAGATGAAAGACAGGAAGGCAGGGGCCCTCGCTTTATGCAAGTCGCTGTGTTCCTGGAAGGGAAATTCTAGGGTGTGGACCTTGCATCAGCCGGGCCACAGTATATCAGTGTTTGTGGACAAACTTGGTGGGTCTGGGGACTTACTTTCTTTCACTGACACCAATTTCTCACGCTGAAGGTCGTGGCCCTCTTACCTCAAAGTCTCAGAGTTTCTGAGGGCAAACCTTTGTATTCCACGGCTGCTTCATTGTCTGACAGGCCTGCCTCTGCCACTTAGGGGCTGTGTGATGTTGGGTGTGTCGCCTCACCTCTCTGAGCCTCAGGTGCCCCATCCATAGAACGGAAATCATCAAATTCTCGCCCCGACTTGAGAGCATTAAGTGAAGGGACAAAAGTAAAGTGCCGGGTACAGACACGGCAGGAATTAGAGACCCCTGAGGCTCACAGAAAGATCAGGTGGAACCCTTGTGTGAAACGGGAACCTTTGCGACCTGTGTGTAAAATAGGAGAGGTGTGAACCTTAAAAATCCCTTCCAGATTCCTTCTACAGCTCTGCCAAGTAGACCAGCCCTGTGTGGGGAGGAGAAAATGGAGGCCGGGAGACGTCTAGCAACCTGCCCAAGGCTATTCTCCAAGCTGGGCTGATGCAGAACGAGGCTTCTCTGGGTTGCTGATGCTTCCTCCTAGAGCATTTCCTGGGTTCAAGAATTATTGCCTCAGTCCTGGTCCCTGAGTCTCAGCGGAAACCCCGGGCTCTGGCTTTCCCAGTCCGACGTGGGGGCAGCCAAACCACGAGTCCCAAACGCGCGGGGTTTCCTGGTGCAGCTGGAGAGGGAAGATGGGAAGACGTGGTCGATGGCAGGGATGTGTTTCTTTTCCAGCTGGCTGTCTACCCCAGGGCCAGGCAGGGGCAGGGGGGCCGGGGTCCGTCATTACTTGGGGTCACTGCAAAAGTGACTCTGAGTGTCCAGCTGAGCATGTACTAAGGCCAGGTGGAGTGATGGCCAAAAGGCACCCCAAGGCCCGGTGAGGATGGATGGGGTTCCACTATCACCACGCGATCCAGTAGCAAACTAGGAGGTGGACAGCACCATGATTAAAAGCACAAAGTCTGAGGTCAGCCTGTCTGGACTAAATTCTTCCTCTGCAACTGGCCTTGGGCCAATTCCTCACCTACTGAACCCATAAAGCAGGGAAGAGCAGTAATTGCCCCACGGAATGGATGAGGCTTCCAAGAGATATGGCAGAGAGCCCAGTGCCCGGACCCCCGGCCCAGCGTGAAAGTGGCTAAGCCAGAGCTTTGCTTGGGCCACCAGCTTCTCAGGCCCTGGGCTGCAGTGGCCATCTGTGGCTGCAAGGAGGGTCCCCCAGCATGCCTCCATGGCTGGTTCTTCCTGTTCTGCTCCTGCTTCTTCATTCCTTGTATTTTTCATTACATTATAACAAATGTACAGGAAATAAGACATACTGGCTCTGTGCCAGATGGATAACTTAATATCGAAAGACAAAAGTTCTTCACAAATTAACCTATGAATACAACACAGTTCTAATAGATTCCAAAGGATTGTTTAGACTTCCCAAAAATGTACTCTAAAATTCATTTGGAGGAATATAGGCCTCAAATAGCTAGTCACCCTTAGTGAAAGAGGGCATGGAAAGAAGACTTGGTAGAAAGCTATTACGAGGCCATCATGGTAAATCCAACATGGGGTCTGAGCAGGGATAGGCATGAAGGCCAGTGGAAGACAATGAAGGGCTCAGCAGCAGACTTATATACACCTGGGGGACTTAAGACACAATATTAGTGGCATCACCAGTAAGGGACAGATGGTGTGATGATGGTGTTGGAAAACTGGCTTATTATATGAAGAAAAATAAAACGGGATCCATATCTAATTCTTCATCCAGAGATGGGCTCCAGGCAGAGTAAAGGTTCTAAACAAAATGGCAAAACTATAAAGTTAATGCAGTAAAATAGCTTTGTGACCTCAGGACAAGGAAGGACTTCTCAAACAAAAAACGATAAGCACGAAACGTCAGACCAAAAACCTGGTGAGTTTAAGTACATCAAAATTATGGAGTTTTTTTGTTGTTGTTCCATGGAAGACACCATAGGCGATGTTAGCCAGCATGGGACAGAATAGGGCGAGGTATTTGCAATATCTGAAGCCAGAGATTAACATCTGGAAGGCCTGCAAATCAAAGCAAGGATACTTCCCTAATACAGAAAAATGGGCTGAGGTTTTATAAGGCAATTTCAGAGAAGACAATATCTAAAAGTAAGAATTTAGCATGTGAAGACACATTTAAAGTCATCAGTGACCACAAACATTAAAAAAAATTAAAAAAATTTTTAATGTTTATTTTTTTGAGAGGGAGAGAGAGAGAGAGAGAGAGAGACAGAGCACGAGTGGGGGAGGGGCAGAGAGAGCGGGAGACACAGAATCCGAGCAGGCTCCAGGCTCTGAGCTGTCAGCACAGAGCCCAATGAGGGGCTTGAACCCATAAACCAAGAGATCATGACCTGAGCTGAAGTCGGATGCTCAACCGACTGAGCCACCCAGGTGCCCCCCCCCCAA